AAGAACTGCCGGGCTAGTCCTGCCTGCGAGGAGGCGGAGGGGCTGCCCTGTGGGGAGGCTGCTTTGGGGTAGGGGACAACGCACAAGACGGGGCGTGGGTTCGGGTGAGAAACGCGGGATTCCTCGGTTGTAACGAGGCTGAGGGCTGCCTCGGCCCCACTCAGCGAGGGCACGTGCTCACGGAGACCCTGAGCAGAACAGGGATGGGGAGAGCTGCTCCGGTAGTTGCTGGACTGGGTAAGTTGGTCGTTGCTCCTGGGAACGTGCCCCAGCTGATGGGGCTCGGTTAGTCTCCGCAGACCTTTCCTAGCTTTGTTCGCGGGCGGCGCGACGGCGGCTTTGAAACGGCCGGGACGGAGGCTGAGGCCTGCTTTTTACGGTGCTCCCGGCACCGCCGCGCTGCGTGCCGACCTTCGGGACCGACTGGCACCAGCACCCCTGTGTGGGACACCCCAAAACAGCCCTCAGCAGAGACCGTAACGCCCCCGCGCAGCTCCGGTCCTCTCTTAAACCCGAGAAAAAACGCTCTGAATTCCTGCCTGTCTCGTCCCGTTGGAGCAGTGGACCTTTTGCTCTCCGTCACCTCTCCTGTCCGGGGCCGGGTTGCTGCTGGCTGGCTGGCACCGGCAGCGAGGGGGAGTTAACGTGGAGTTGGGTTCGGATCTGACCGTGCCGCAGCATCTTACCGTGAGCGCGGGCAGGGGCTCGCTGCTTTTCTCGCCCAGCTTTGGGAGCCAGAAGAGTTCCAGACGTCCCCCCACGTGCTGCTAGCTTACCTTTGAGATGGGGCCTCGAAATCTGCCTGGTTGAGGGTCTTCTGCTGAGGCTAGGGCTTTCTGTGAAGGGACTAGGTGGGCTTCTGGGCCCAGGAGCACTTCCCCTTGCTCTCCGTCCGGGGAACTCCCCCGGAGACTTCACGGTAGCCTGTAACCTCTTCTTCCTTCCTCCCCTCCGCTCCCCACCACCGCTCCTCTGTCTCCAGGTGATCCGCAGAGGCTGGCTGACCATCAACAACATCAGCATCATGAAGGGAGGCTCTAAGGAGTACTGGTTTGTGCTGACGGCCGAGTCGTTGTCCTGGTACAAGGACGAGGAGGTACGTGCGAGCGGGGAAGGACGGGTTTTGGGGTGGGGGGAGGTTCTGTGATTCACCGGGCTCGGGTGAGAAGGTCCTCGGGCTGGGGATGAGAATTAGCGCCCAGGACTAATTAGCGTCGTCCATCTCCTGGCGTGCAGGAGCGTGGGTCTCCTCTGGAGGGTGCCCTGCGGACACCGCGCAGTCCCAGCCAGCAAATTCCATGTCTCCAGACGCTCCCCCAGACCTCGGGATTGTGTAAACGCAGATAAACCAGGAGACGCTGGCAAGCGGAGG